ACTCCCGCCACCACCCCCCCCGCCACCCCCACTCCCCCCTCCACCCCCACCGCCTCCTCCACCGCCCCCTCTGGCTCCACCCGCTCCCTTGCCCCCCTTGCCCTTGCCAGTGCGGCGTCTGCCACTGGGGGCAGACGCCGCGCCGACCGACTCAAAACCAACGAGGTCGGCCGCAGCGGCAGAGGCGACAGAGGGCAGCAGGGGGGAGGGACCACACCCCTCAAAGATGGGGGTGCGAGGGTCACCCCGAGAGGCCCCTACAGCGACAATACTCTTCTCAGCCGCTAGCAGGGACTCCTCAAGGAGGTCGACAGTGAGAGTGGTGGGACAGACAGAGAGAAACTGGTCCCTAACGACACGAAGGGACTCAGGAAGACGGGTGACGAGAAAGTAGAGAGTGATGTACATGGGAGGAGGGTTCGCAGCGCGGAACTCAGCAGGAAGGGCAGCGCGGTAGCGGGTGTCACTAGCGCGGAGGTGGGTAACGAGGTCAGCGACAGTGGGAAAGGAAGCGAGGTCAGGGAAGAGAAACGGTAGCATGAGGCGGCTAAGGGTAGCGGAGGAAGGGGAGGAGTAGCGCGCAACTACAGCGTCGTACAAGGCCTGAGCGGTCTTGCACTGACTAAAGTGGGCACGCTCAGAGGAAGGGAGGTGGCGACGCACAGCAAGACGTGCAGCAGCATCGCGGGTCGCCCACTTGGAGCGAACGGCAGAGTCAGCATCAGCAGGCGGGGCAGGGACAGCGCCAGAGACAAAGTCAAAGAGAGAGACCTCATCTACCGCATCACACAGTAAGTACAGCTGCAGATCCTCGATCCAGACGGCAAAGTCAATGGCCCTCCCCTCAGTGTCAAAAGTGAGAACATTGGGGGTGGCCATAGCAGCAGCTGAAAGTCTCACCGGGATGGGAGAGTCGGGTAGGTCAGCAGCAGGCGGCTCGGGCTGCTCGTGCAGCTCAGGCGGCTCGGGCTGCTCAGGTACCGGGCGGCTCGGCTACTGCGGGGCGGCTCGGCTACTGCGGGGCGGCTCGGCTGCTGCTGGGCGGCTCGGCTGCTGGTGGGCAGCTCGGCTGCTGCTGGGCGGCTCGGCTGCTGCTAGGCGGCTCGGCTGCTGCTGGGCGGCTCGGCTGCTGCTGGGCGGCTCGGCTGCTGCTGGGCGGCTCGGCTGCAGTGCAGTGGCGGGGCCGGGACAAGGCCGGCGGTAGGGCCGGCGGTAGGGCCAAGTAGGAGCCGGCGGCGGGTCGAGTAGGAGGCCGACGACGGGCCGAGTAGGAGGCCGGCGGCGGGGCCGAGTAGGAGCCGGCGGCGGGGCCGTGTAGGAGGCCGGCGGCGGGCCGAGGAGGAGGCCGGCGGCGGGCCGAGTAGGAGCCGGGGCCGGGCCGAGTAGGAGGCCGGCGGCGGGCCGTGTAGGAGGCCGGCGGCGGAGCCGAGTAGGAGCCGGCGGCGGGGCCGTGTAGGAGGCCGGCGGCGGGCCGAGTAGGAGGCCGGCGGCGGGCCGTGTAGGAGGCCGGCGGCGGGCCGAGTAGGAGCCGGCGGCGGGGCCGTGTAGGAGGCCGGCGGCGGGCCGAGTAGGAGGTCGGCGGCGGGCCGTGTAGGAGGCCGGTGGCGGGCCGAGTAGGAGGCCGGCGGCGGGCCGTGTAGGAGGCCGGCGGCGGGGCCGAGAAGGAGGCCGGCGCGGGGCCGCGTAAGGGGCCGAGTAGGAGCCGGCGGCCCAGGGCCGCGTAAGGGGCCGGCTCGGAGCCGCGTAAGAGGCCGGCGCGGGGCCGCGTAGGAGCCGGCGGCGCAGGGCCGCTTAAGGGGCCAGCGCGGGGCCGCGTAAGGGGCAGGCGGCGGGGCCGCAGGGGAGAGGGCGACCCGAAGGGTCGCTAAAACAAAAAAGGGCGCGCCTCGGGGCGCGCTTCGGTGGGCCCAAAAAAAAAAATTCGGTCCTGGAGGGACCTAGCTCTATACCATGTGAAACTACGAGCAGAGGAATGAATTGACTAAGTCAGAGTTGGGTACAAATACAACCCTAGCAAACTGTACCCCATATGTGCTACCCCACTATGGCCTACAAACATGCATCAGCTATAATAATCTGACACCCTCTCATTCTGACATCGGGAGGCGCTGCTTCTGATTTCGTGGGTGGGGGGGTAGCCTAGGGGAAGTTACTTCGAAAACTCTTCCTAGCTCTAGCCTAAGGGCATGTAAATCGTAACGCCCAAACCAGATGATCGATCATTTGCACGTTTCAGGCGAGTGCGAAATGTGACGCTTAAGCGAACCCCGTCTTCAATTTCGCCAGCATTTGGAGCACCCACCCTTAACCGCCCCCTTAATTAAACGCGAAATTGTTTGTCCCTTTGCTGTATTTGAATGGGATAGGAAATAACGAGGACACTGACAAACATTTAGCGCGCTTAACAAAGCAAAGGGTTTATGGTAACATATTTTTGTTCTCCCAGCTCAGAATTAGTCAAGGTATGTCCCACAATGCGGTACGTAGAGTTCGAGGCAGAAAATACCATCAAAATTCGGTCGAATCGGGGTGACTAATCAAATCGGCATAACCCTAATACCTTGCAATCGCCAGAAACGCGCAAATGTTCGACCATTGCCTTTGGTCGTTACAATTTTACACGCCCTAACCCTAGCTCTCCAAGGAGGTGCCTGCCTGTCAAACAAGGCCGGTGTGCTAATCGATGTGTCCACATCGGTGTGAGGCTTTGATCCTTCCCCGATCCTGGCCAATTCCCTAAAGGTGCCGCGTCCTGGACGCGGCACCTCAAGCAATTTTGCACGATCGATCGCAGGATCGCTAATTCAACCGTACTAAAAGTTTGCTAAAAGCATTTAAACATTTTGGAACCATTTTAAACTCCTGAAACATTCTATCATGCGCAGGATCGATCGCACGGTCGGTGCTAGAGGTGCTGCGTCCTAAGGACGCATCACCTGCCTCAATCGAACCTGCGCAGGCTCGATTTTTTATTCGGTTCAAAAAGTTTCCAATTGAATTTAAATGCAACACACAGGGGTTTAGTGCGGTGGACGATCGATCTTCCTCGATTTTGCACGATCGATCGAGGGAGGTGACTCGTCCTAAACCGGTGTGAGACCCCGCCCCGATCCCCCCCACCATCCTGACAATTTCTCTAGAGGTGCCGTGTCAGGTCGGAGCTAGGGCTACTGATCAGGGCAAGAAGTAAGGACGCGTCAACTCCCAGCAACTTAGCAGGGTCGAGGCAAGGTCGGCAGTGCACACCGATATTGGCAAGATCAATCGGAACACCGGTGTGCCACACTTGCAAATTGGCAGTGTACCCCTACCACCAAGCCACACTTGACAAGGGTAGAGTTGCAGGATCGGGGTGCTGGTTTGGCATGCTGCATGCTGCAAATCCCCCTTCGCAGGGTGTCGCAAAGTGTTTCCCAACAGTGTCTGAGCGACTTGACTCCATTGACCAACGTGGCTTGCACACAACCCACCTTCCCAGAGGCAGGATTTGTCGTAGCTGCGACTCTGGCATGTGTCGTTCGAAACGATGTGCGACGCCGATCGATCGCGGCTGTCAACTAGCGCGCGATTGTAGCTCCCGCTCACCAAAATGCTACGATTGGTGGCAAAGTGTGGTGAAATCCGGAGGGGACAAGAAAGTACTTGCCAGTTTATTGTGCATTTGCGAAGAAAGACGGGAAACAAGAGACTTCGTCAGCTCGTGAAAGTACTGTATATATGGCACATCGATCCTACGCAGGATCGATCGTCCCAACGTGCTGTGAGTTGACGCGTCCTAATTCAAACACAGCAGTTTTCTTGGATTCAGGTCATATTGCGTCCTGTCTGTCATTCTGCCCCTCATTCTCTCCGTGATTCTCTCCTCGTCCTGCCGTCCTTTTCCCTGAATCATCCGTTTTCCAAGAATGCCATTCTGAAGGAGATAGTAGCTCCCGCGAGCTAAAAAAACGCATCGTCACCCGCGGTCTGTATTCAACGCGGCATTCCTAGATTTGCGGCGACCACCTTCGAATGTGTGCGTATCAACAGCGCGGAGCTTACCAACCAATGCTATGTGAGCTTGGTATCACTCAGCGCCACCGCTAGCGTTGTAGCGCCACCGCTAGTGCGCCACCGCAAGTGCGCCACCGCTATCACTGAGTAGCATACCGTGTGGTTCTTCTACGGCACGCAGAGGGATGGCTGCGACTGAGATCTGCCCGTTTTCATCATCGGTGCAGCCTTCACTGCTCCTGTCAAGCCCTAACGGTGTAATGGAAGGAGAGCGACCGCTACTGTCAACAAACCCTGACGGTGTAACGGAGGGAGAGCAACCGCTACTGTCAACAAACCCTGACGGTGTAACGGAGGGAGAGCAACCGCCGCTTCGGCCTCACGCCGGGATGCGGGAAGAGCAATCGCCGGCGGCTGCGACTGCTTTTCAGGCCCCCGCGACCGGCGCTCAGCCCATTCCGACCGACTGCGGCGCCGCGCGCTGTGAGTCGCCTCAGAGCACTCCTGCGGAGAGATCCCCGCCGGCGGCGGCGGCGGCGGCGGCGGCGGCGGCTGCTGCTAGTACTCAAGTTCAGCAAGCGTCCGGCGCTCAGGCCCTTCCGCCGAGGGACTGCAGCACGCCGCATTGCGACTCGGAGTCGACTCAAAACACACCTGCTGAGCGATCGCCACCGGCGGCGGCGAGTTCTACTCAAGTTCGGCAAGCGTCCGGTGCTCAGGCCCTTCCCAGCGACTGCATCGCGCGAATCCTCTGCCTTCTAACGAACGCCGCGCACGTGGCACGAGCAGGCGCCACGTGTCGCTCGTGGTGGCGCTGCTACAGAGACGTGGTTCGTCCGTCAGCCTGCCACGTGTCACTCGCGCTGAACCCGCTTTCGCTGGAGTGGAAGCCATTGCTCAGACAGTCTCTATTGACGCAGTCGTCTGCATCGCGCGAATCCTCTGCCATTTCGCAGTTGCTGCTGCGGCTGCCTTTCCGCCAGTTCCGAAATGCTCGTCCAGATTCAATGAATCAGCGGGTGGATTTCACCAGTTCTGCTGCGGCAGAGGGAGGATTCGATTCGTATAGGGATGGTCGGGACGTGCGCCGTTGCTTGAATGAGCTTCAAACGTCGCTTTCATCGTTCATAGTACCAGCTAAAGCCGACATCTCGTCGGATGCTGCGGCTGCTCATAACGAAGCATCAGCTTCTCTGCCTTCCCTGGAAGCGTCTGGCGGCAGATTGGACTCGTTAGCTTCACGCTCCTTGGCGTTATCCTCGTTACAAGACGTGCTTCGACTCGATACGCCTCTGAGTCCCAGATATTGGCCTCTGAACCGTGTTGCCTCATTGCTGCGAAGCTTCCCAGAGCTCACATCCCTCCACCTCCCGTTTCTGTCTCATCTCGGTGCTGGCCCCTCCTTGGGGGAGGGCACTGACGCCGGATGTGACTATATCGATGCCATCTGCCACATTGTTGCCCGCTGCTGCCCGTCCCTTCGCCATTGTCACATCGAGTTCGGTCGGCAGGTGGAAGGCGACAGAAAGAGCCGATGGCACCCGTTACAGGCCACAGGCACGCGCTCCCAACCTCCTGATACAGTCCCTCTCCCCTCCAATAGCAGAGGCCGAATCTTCAATGCCGCTGCCGAGGACAATCAAAACCCGACTGACAACATTGGGGATTCAGAAAGTACTGGCAACAGCCAAAACCCAGAATCCCATCCAGATTCAGTTCACGGTCTCATGCTATTGCTCCAACGATGCTCACACCTCACTTCCCTCCACCTCCTCACCTCCAACTTCTCCCCCTCTTCCTCCTCCACCTCATCCTCCTCCTCCTCCCCCTGTCTACACTTTGCTCCGTCCCTCGACCTCCCGCCTTCCCACAACCACTCGCTCTCCACCATTCACCTCCCTCTAACCATCATCCCTCTCCTCTCCCGCCTCTCCCACCTCTCGCTCTCACTCAAAACCATCCCTCCCTCCCTCCTCCCCTCCGTCCCGTCTCTCAAATCCCTCACCCTCCACGTGTCAGATCCTGCTTGCACCGTCACCTGCTCCTCCGCCCCATTCAGTCACCTCTCGTTACTGTCACATCTGGAGCTGCAAATGGGCTCTGATTGGGCGAAAGCCTACCCAGTCCCGAGGCTCTACGAAAACATGTTTTCAGGTCTTCAAGACACTCTCACCTCCCTCGCTCTCACCCTCCCTTTTATGGCACACCTTCCACTTTCGATATGGGAACTATCTGCCCTTCGCTCTCTTTCCATTCGCAACCCGGCCTTTCAACCGGGCGTGCAGAGGCATGCTTATGAGGCAGGCGTGTCCGGGTTGCGGCATTTGTCCTGTCTGCAGCTGCTGGGTCACCCGGTGCCCGGACTGATGATGGCGGCACTTGGTGGAACCCACCCGGAGACAACAGGAAGGGATGGGGTAGATCAACAGCAGCATCAGCCGCAGGAGGAACAGCTAGGGATTGGTGGGAACGAGCAGCAGCAGCAGCAGCGGGGTGGGCAGGGAGGTGAGGAGGCGAGCAGAACCCAGCAGCTGGAGCAGCTGCGCATGTCCCGAGGCACCGTGGCAATGTTGAACGCACACCAACTCGTTGGCCCTGCTGCTCATCGTGCTGCTCCTGCTACTCCTGCTACTCCTGCTACTCCTGCTGCTCCTGCTGCTCCTGCTGCTCTTGCTGCCAATGCTGCATCTACTGCCCCTTTCGCCCCTCCAGCAGGTGAGGGGGCAGGCGAGGGGGCGGATTGCGGAACTGGAGGTGGATGGAGACTTGCTAGTAGCAGCAATGAGAAGTGGTGCCTCTCTGCCTGCCTCCCTCACCGTCCTCTCTGTCACCCCGTCCCCAGCTGTCGCTCCCTCCTTCCTCCCTCAACCTGTCCGCCTGGACCTTCCTGCACTTGCATCGGCCAGCCTTAGGGTGCTTAAGCTCTCTGGTGTTTACATAAGTGCCAGGAGTGGTTCTGCTCTTGGGAATGACAGCTGCTCCTGCTTCTTTCCTGACTTGATGCTTCTGGAGGTGAGGGATGTGCGAACGTGGCGTGGAAAGCACCTGATGGGGTCTCTTGTGCGAAACTTTCGCCATGAGCTGTTGCTGCACTGTCCGAACCTCCAGGTCTTGTATTTGGATTCGCTTCCACGCTCCTCCCCTCTTCCCGTTCTGCCCAAGCTCCAAGTGCTGGTTATTGGCATGTACCGTCACCCCCCGGATATACCCCCATGGGGGGCAATAATAAAACAGGTTTTTTCAAGGGGGTGGGCTTATAATCGAGTAAATTTATAAGCGCCGGCGTTTATAAAATGACATTCATATTTTTTATATTGTTTAACACCAAACTGTAGGTCTCGTGCTTGCCCTTTCAATCGAGTCGAATTTACATGGGGTCGTCTGTGAAATTCTCGCGCGCGCTGGGAGACACACCCAATCTGACTCACATCCAGCTCCTGACAGCTCCTGCTGACTGGACCCGCATCCAGTGCAGGGTCCGAATGTGAAGGGAACCGAATCTGCAACATATCTGCCTGCTAAAGTAAAAATCATTACAACGTTTTGTACACATTTCAAATTTTAAAGTTTACGTGCGCTTATAATAAAACTAGTTTTTTCAGGGGGTGCGCTTATAATCGAGGAGGGGATATAAGCGCCATATGCCAATTAGAAGCGCCAGGCGCTTATCCTAGGGTGGCGCTTATATCCGGGGGGTGACGGTACGTCAACTCGGGAGCTTCTCTCGCTTCCCTCTCGCAGTTTCTTTCGCTGCACACCCTCCGCTTCAATGGCATTTTCAGCTATGTTGGGATGATTGACGGAACGGTGTCGTGCCCCCCGAACCTCCGAAGGCTGCAGATCTGCGCAAAAGATTTAACATGCATGCCACGTTTCATTTGGAGATTCACGTCGATCAATCAGCTGGACCTCATGAATTGCGCTACGCTGAAGTTGCTGTTTAAAAGTCTGTACTCGTTGTTTCCTTCCCTGAAGTGCTTGAGAGTGGATGGTGGTGGCATTTAGAAGTATTTTCCTGTGTGTAATAACATGTAAAGAGTATAATCTTTTGAATTTGTTCTTATGCTGGGGAATTGAAGTACGCGCCAAGAAGCAGGAGGCGAAGTGAATGTTCAAATTTTCTGACACATCGCTGCATCCAGTAAATCATGAACAGTGTCAGCCACAAGGTCTCGCGAGCAGGCGACTTCGTCGCCCATCTGACGGCAAAGCGACACGGATCCACCCAAATCATGTTTGGGAGCGGCGAAACATTAAACCGCTCTAGAGCGCACACTATTGCTGTCAACCGTTTTGCTGAAGGGAATTGAACAAGCGTGACATGCCCTCGTTTCTAGCTTCATGGTTTCCCCACCCAGGTCATCCATGGATGGATGGATTCACCATCACGTTGTTCTGCAGCAGGCATGATTTTTGCTTGCCTCGCTCCCTAGTTCTGCTGGTATCAGTTCCCCCCACCCCCACCATCGCCTGACACCATTTCGAAGCGCATTGCTGATTTCTGATTCCTTGATTGCCTCGCTCTTTGAATCAGCTAACTCCATGTGACCATCTTCAGCATTTCCTAGATTTCCCTACATCATTAGCATCATCGGCACCATCATGTTAGAGCCTTTTAACAAATCTCTTGAGCTGACCTATAATGTTCGTCGAGTCTGGAGGGAAGTGTTGCTAGCAGACCGAAGTTTGTTTCTCTAGATTAAGCACTTCCTTCTCGCGTTGACAATGCTCCGGTGAGAAACTCGTAAGCTTGTTTTAGGGAACCGTTTTCAATCCGAGCGTTACCACATTCGGATTCATAGCTTCCTTGACTGCTTCGTCGATTCATAGCTTTCCGTGTTTGGGGGAACTGTAACTCGCGTGCAGAACGGTAACGTGGGTGACGCCATGGATTGCGTTGACAGCCAGCAACCAATCGGAATTATGAACAAACTTAGTGAAGCTAAGAATGAGAGCAGAGAGGAGGAAGAACGCGAAGCGCGTTTCGAGCGAGAGCTGGAGGAGCTGATGAAGGCTCTGGAAGAGGTGGTATTGTCGAAAACGACTGACGAAAATCCTGGCGACGAGTTACCGCGTAACGAAGGTGACAGCGACGATTTTCCGTCTATGCAAACCCCCCCTCCAGCAGCAGCAGCAGCACAGAGACCCAGCAGATCTCTGAAGCAGGGACGTACGGAAACGGAAAAGAGTAATGACAATATACAAGGCAGCAGTCCGGCTAGTGTACTGGTAGGTGTAGCTAACTCGCCTTCGCCTTCTACTGAATCTCCTGTTAACGAAAGTCCTTTGGATTCCTGTCGCCCGCCTTACACTGCAACGGGTCACGCGGCGACTTCAGGGGATGTTATCTCCGGGTCGAGCGGAAGGGCTCCGAAGTCCCAGGCTTTGTTACCCGAGGCGGCGCGAGTCGCGCGCGCGAAGCAGCGCGAGAAAGCGGTGGTGAAGAACCAATCGCTGGGCCACGCAGATGCGGGACGTGCCAACTGGCACGCGTTCATTGGACGGAATAACCTGGTGTCAGAAAATGTCGCTGTTGCCTCGGGAACGTCGTCCGCCTTGCCGTCCGGCGAGGATGACGGTGTTTTTGCCAGCAAGCTGCCGGCTAACCGTTCAGAATGTCTGGACGGTTCTCCGGGCAAAGGCAATCTGGATGATGGTCCCCGAGGAGGAATCTTTGGGAAGAAGATCTCGTTCGGATTGAAGAAATCTACTCGGGCCGGTGTTGTTGGTGGTGGCAGCGGCGTTGCTGGTGGTGCTGGTGGTGGTGGTGGTAGCGGTGCCAGTGGTATGGGGGTCGCTGCTGCTGGTACGGCTCCCCGTCGCCACACGGCAATTTCGTCACTGGAGATGCAGAAGCGAATAACGGAGCAGCTCTTTGGCGGGGATGACGAGGACTCGGATTCTGAAGAGTCGTCTGGGTCCAACGCTAATTACCCGTCTGGTTACCACAACATGTTCGCGACTAGTATTCTGGGGTCTCCTGCGAAGAGCAGAAGTGGAAGCAACGTCAGCAGCAGCGGGAGCTGCACCAGCAGCAGCGCCACCTCAGCAGCGCCACGAGTAGCGCAATCAGCAGCAGCAGCAGCAGCAGCCGGAACAGCAGCTTCAGCTGCAGCAGCTGCCGCATCCGCTGCTGCAGCAGAGGCAAGGCTAGGACGAACAATCAGCAGGCTATGTTCCAACACTTGCTTTCCAGCTGGTAAAACAATTGCTGGTGCTCCTGCTGCTGTTACATCTGCTCTTGCAACATCATCTGCTGCAGTGTTGCCCTCGTCTTCTCCTCAGGGCAAAGCGACCCCCCCTACTTACCCGCTTCCTCCGCCTCCCCCTCTAACCAATGAAGAAGCCGCGTTCTCTCCGCTTCCTCCGCTCCCCCCAGGCCCCCCTCCGGAAACCCCCCTTCCGCCTCCCCTTCCGCCTCCTTCTCCCCTCTCCAGCCTTCCCGCCTATGGGGGGAGCAACTTCCGCCCATCCCACTTTGAGAGTGCTCCCCTTGCCGCAGTTCCTCCCCTTCCGCCTGGGCCTCCGCCCATGACTCCTCCGCCCCCTCCCCCGATCGGAGTGTCCTTGGAGGAGCGATTAGCACCTGGGGGAAGCCGGACTGCGCCTCCACCACTGCTCCCAGTCCCCCCAGTTCCCTTGGTTCCCCCGCCTCCCCCAGGTCCCCCTCCCGCCACTCCCCCTCCCCCAGCTTCACCTCCCCCGGACCCAGCCTCATCCTCGCTTTGTGCCCATCCCATTCCATTTATTCCACCCCTTCTCTCCGCCCCTGCATCCAATGCTGCTGCATCCGCTACTGCTGCTACTGCTGCTGCTGCTGCTGCTGCTGCTGCCGCTGCTGGTGCTGCTACTGCTACAGCTTCCAGCGATGCATCTGGCTGCTACAGCCACAACAGCGTCTCCGGCTCTGAAGCAGTCTGCTACAGCCAGAGCAGTGTTTCCGGCTCTGACGGTTTGACCTGCTTGTGGAACGCAGGGTACTCGAGTGCTGGTGATGATGACTGTACGGATAGTGCCAATAGCGGGAGTATGAGCCAGGGGCGGCCCGAGAATTGCAGTTATCCTGCAAGTGGAGAGGTACGGCTGGAGGTGAAGCAGACGCAGTATGCGTGGCAGGATCAACAGCAAACGAATCAGTCGCACTTGCAGAAGCAACAGCAGCAGCAGCAGGTTCAGCAATACCACGAGCAGCAACAGCAGCACCAGCACTATCACCAACAGCCGCAGCATCTGCAGCAGCAAGAGCACAGTCACGAGCACAGCCAGTTCCAGGCAGTTGAGGAGCAGAAGAGGGACGGGTACAGTTACCATGAAGGCAGTTGTCAGGAGTACGAGCAGAGCGAGGAGTACAGAAAATGGCTGGCTTACCACCAACAGCGCCAGCAGGAACAGCAGCAGGAACAGCAGCAACCGCTGCTGCAGCAGCAGCAGCAGCACTGTGAAAGCGTGGAACAGCAGAGGTACTATGAGTACGAGCAGAGCGAGGAGCATCGGAAGTGGTTGGCTTACCACCAACAGCTTCAGGCGTACCAGCAGCAGCCGCAGACATACCAGCAGGAGCTACAGCAGAAGCAGCAGGTGTACGATCAGGGGCAGCAGCAGCTGCAGCAGCAACATCAGCAGCCGCAGCCATACCAGCAGCAACTCCAGCAGTCATATCAGCAGCATCAACAGCAGCCGTACCAGCACCACCAGCAGCAGTCGTACCCGCAGCAATCAGTCACACATCACCCTCACACCGTATCTTCACTAACCCATCCACATGCTACGCACGCACCTTACAGTGCACAACACACCAGTCCAAACACCCTGCATGCGGTTACCAATGCTGCAGACCACACTGTACCCGCGGTTACAAGCGCCTCCCACGTGGTAACCACGTGGTACCTGGTGGTGGACACGAACGTGTTCCTGGACGTGGCTGAGGTGGCAGCGCTCTATAGGCTCATTGCGTGGGGGCTCCGGAACACAGAGAGAGGGTTCGGACAAACTGAAGGGGTCAGGTGGACAGAAGGGGTGGGGCACACAGAAGCACAGAGTGCAGGTCTGGCTGGTGGTTCTGCCACTGTCACTGCTCCTGGTGTTCTGCCAGCTCCAGCTGCTTCTGCTTTTGCTTCTGCTTCTGCTGCTGCTGCTGCCGCTGCTGCCGGTGCTGCTGCTGCCGCTGCGCCTGGTGCCACTGTTGTTGGTGCCGCTGCTGCAGCAGTGGTGGCATCCATTCAAGCTGCTGCGGCTGTGGCTGCTGCAGGGAGCAACTGGGCTGGGCTGCTGGGGAGCGTGGCGGACAGCTTTCCCCGCAATGAGCGGGTGGTGGTGGTGCTCCCGCATGCAGGTGAGAGAGAGGGGATGAGAATGGAATTGGGAAGGCAGGTAAATGGGTGGGAATGCTATGCGTCTAGGGAGTGTGGCGGATAGCTTCCCCAGCAGAGGGAGGGTGGTGGTGGTGCTCCCTCACACAGGTGAGTGAGTGAGAGAGGGGACGGGAGTGGGAATGCAGATATGAAAGTATAAGTGGGTGGGGAGGTGAGGCTGCTGGGGAGCGTGGCGGACAGCTTTCCACGGAACGAGAGGGTGGTGGTGCTGCTGCTCCTGCATGCAGGTGAGTGAGTGACAGGGGATGGAAAGGCAGATACGACAAGTTGAGTGAGTGATGTTGTGCTGCTACGGTTGCAGTAAGAGGATAGTTTCCCACAAATGAAAGGGTGTTGGTGGTGCTTCCGCATGCAGGTGAGAGTCAAGATGCACATTGGGGTGAGTATGCTGAGGTGTGAAGATATGTGACTGTGGGGAGCTGGGCTGGGTTGCAAGGGAGTGCGGCGGACAGCGTTCCACGGAATGAGAGGGTGGTGGTGGTGCTTCCACATGCAGGAGAGCGAGGGACGCCTTGGCGAGCAGAGCCCCTGGCTCAGAGTCCAGAGCGCCCACGAAAAGGCAGAAGTGCCTGGCAGCAGCAGCAGCAGCGGCAGCGGTTGCAGCAGTTGCAGCAGTGACATCTGTCCTTCCTCCCGCCGTCTAATGCCCCTTTTCCTCCTCCCGTGCACCCTCCCTGCCTCCCCTACAATTCACACTTGCCCCACCTTCCCCCCTCCCTCCCTGCCAGTGGTGCGTGAGCTGGACGGCATAAAGGAGGACAAGGAGAGGGCGAGGGGAGTGTACGCCCGGAGAGCCCTGCGCCTGCTGAGGGACGCCCTGGCCAGCAGAGCCCCGTGGCTCAGAGCCCAGGGCGCCCACGAGAAGGCCGAAGTGACTGGGAGCAGCAGCAGCATCAGCAGTGGTGGCGGTGGTGGCAGTGGTATTCAGAGGCTTTCGGCTGATGATGCGGTGTTGTCTTGCTGCCTCTACTACCACCAGTTTGTTGCTCCTGGCGCTGTGGTGCTGCTTACTGGGGATATTGCACTGCAAGTCAAGGTGAGGATACGAATTATGGCAATATAAAGTCGACTTTTTCTGTACAATTTTCTCTATGGGATGCTGATTAACTAATCCTCCCTCGTTTTCCTTTGCAGGCACTTATGGAAGGAGTGACCATGGTTCACAAAGCATCTGCTTTTGTGGCTGAGCGTGTGGGATTTGCTCTAGCTGCTGCAAAGTGATTGAATCAAGCTTGAAGATTGTACCCGTATCTTATTCTCCAATTGCTTCCATTTTCCATCATGACTAATAGTTTAGATGGTCTTCAATCGTTTGTATGGTTGCTATCGGCATTTGTTGAGTTTCGCAAAAAATGGTGCCACTCACTTGATTTTGGAAGCAGTGTTACTAATGTGAAAGGTTTCCAGTTGGTGAAGTGGTGAAGTCTGAAATTAAAATGGAATTGCGTTTGATGTTTACAAGCATATAACGTGGAATACATTAGGAAACGGCATCCGTTTCCGTAACGCGTACGCCTGATACACTAGCTTCGGGCTCAAGCCTCGCATGTCCCTGCTCCAACCAAGCTCTCAGATTTTCTTCTGCTTCACATCCATGCACGAAGCAGTTCAAGTTCAACTTTCGCATTCCTTTTGATGCACTGATCCTGTACTCAATAGCAGTCTCAAGGATTGTTCCCTTCCGCTGCATTCTCTTTCCATCATCCCGTATACTCGTTAGGGATTTTATGCAACTTGCAGATGGTGAAGCGAAGGCGTGGAGGTGGATGGGGAGGGCTAGAACGCGTGAGCTCGTTGAAAGATGTACGCACCACTTGAATCCTCCACCCAGTTTTTGTCTTAGCGAGGTCTCTGTAGTAACTTTACCGATGTGAACAGAAATTGCCGCTTCCTCGTCAAGGGCCAATACGGAGCTTTATCTCCTCGCGGAATGTCTCTGGAGTAGTAGTCAAGCCCTCGTACAATGTGGATGGTGCGAACAAGACAGTTGAACAAGGCACCACGTTCCGATTTCAGAAGCGTAGCTTGGAAAAGCACACGCCATTGCGAATGCCAAAGCCAGCAGGTGTGGGATATTTCACAAGTGTACGTATTTTACCAGCTGTTGCGATGGAGTTTTTTTTGTTGGTTTTTTTTCTCTGATTGAGTGTTGTATAGATACGTCGCGCGAGGGATGTTCTTTATTGGACGTCAGGCTCGGGAACAACCAGAACGAAAATAGGTCAGGAGGCCGCGGTTGTGATCAATCTCAGATACACTGTAATACCGTACTAATGATGTAGTGCGATGCAGGGTGCATCCGAGAGATAACCAGTGTATCACACCTCGTAAGCTACCTTCTTGTTATCTTTATCCTCCTGCATCTGTTGTTGACCATATTCTGTGTGACATACAGAAGTCGTCATCACCATGAAGAACCACACTGCGCCTCCCAGCTCCAAGATTCGTGCTACTGAGAAGCAGCGTAAGTCCCTTTTCTGTTTTCTGCTGTCGGTTTACATTGTTTGTTAATTTAACTGAGCTTCATGCCAAATGTCCAAAAGAGGAGGACGAGTGGGACTGGAGCTTCGGTTGTGAGGAACCAAAATCACCCGCTGCGGTCGAATCTGGAGATGCAGAGGAAGACGCGATATTGCTGGGTATGTCCCTAGATGATCGCAGATGGCTTGGTTTGAAACCACCAAACACTTGATGATGGTACAGTTTCCATCTGTTTTCAGGTCACCGTCGCGACTACAAGTCTTTCTCCTTTTCCCCGGTCAAAGAGAGTTTGAAGGCCGTTGCGAAAAGAGTCCTGGATGTGGACGCCATCTCAGCTCAGAGGGGTGAAAGGTCTGTCAGTGCATATTTATGCAAATGTAGTTTTTGCTACTTGCTCATTTAGCATGACTTTGTTTTGCTGCAGTAAAACAGCAGCCGATGAGCTTTTAAGCAAGCTCAATATCTCGCCTTCTCCAGAACTCATTGCGATGCTTCCATCGGGCGGAAAGGTGAGGCTGCTCGTGTTAGAGTTTTTGCAGGAGCGTGACTGAGACAGTGGTGGTTACAGGTTAATAAGGATCTCACTTCAAGCCCGAGACAAGCATTTTGGAATGAACAACCACGACATACGATTCCTCTTGCGAATGTAGACATGGAGGATTTCGGGGTACATGACTGGCTCTTCGGGTCTGAAGAGGCACACCGGGATGTCTCTGAAGTCATGTTTGGCAGTGTCCGAAGCATTCCTGAAGCAGAAAGCTCCCTTGGAGCTGATGCATTTCTTGGAGAGGAAAGTCTTATCGAGTGTGGAACATCAATGTTTGCAAAAGGTTTCGAAGCTAGAGGCTGTTTCGATGAAGACTCATTTGAAGAAGCGTTTCCTGGTAGCAGAACTTCTCCAGAAGCAACGGCCTTGCCTCCAGATCCTTTTCTCTCAAGATCCCTCTCTCCAGAACCATTTTCCCCAGGGCCAGGCTCATTAGCTCCATTCTGGAATTGCAGCCCTTCAGCAACAGATATTGATGTAGGTCTTCAGGCACACAACAGCAGTCCATCTGTGAGTGGCCTTTTCGACAGTGCTGCTGTTGCAAGAGGAAATCCCTTCGAGAGTGCTGACACGAATTGGAAGGGAGATAGGGCTGAGGCAGATGAGATAATTTGTGCAAGTGAGTTCGGAGGCCCCAGTTACAGCCCCGCTGATAGCCTATTTGATACACCCTATTTCATGTCATGAAGTACATTCTGTATAGCTTAGTGGATAAAGCCATAAGGCCTGGTAGATTCAGGAGTGTCTTGTATGATTTTCTGTGCAGTAACTTGGTACAAAACGTATTTTACTGGTACTACGAGTTACGAAGTCCGTTCTTAATGAAGTCTCGCTATTGAGGTTATTCCTTTTTTTAGCCGAGTTCCTGTCAGCCTGTCACTCCCTAGGGAACCCCCCCCCACCTTCTCTTCACGGTGATCATGGCTGCACGAGGAGAGATTTGCCGACACGTGGTAGCGCCAAACTGGCTCTTCTCGCGCATGGCGTGCACGAGCAGCCAATTGCAGCGCGGAGCACGCCAGAACGTGCCACCCATCTCCATCCATCATTCATCCCATCCATCAACCTCCGCGTCGCCTTTTCGCGATTTTCCGAGCCGCCTTTGAATCCCGCACCGCGCCGACCATCACGCAGGAAGGAATGTGTGAGATTTTGTTTCCAAGCACGAGCCGCGGTCCATCAAGCCATGGGGTACTGTAAATTCAAGTTGTTCCTGATCTGTCGATCAGTTGGGTCGACGTTCTTCCAGCCAGTCTTCTCGCTTCGCGACTCTCCCTAGTATTCTGCTCTCCCTGAATTTCTGCGGAGGAATCTTCGCCTTCGATTCAACGTTCGAGCCAACATGTCTCAGGAGCAGCCGAGGCGGGAGGAGATGGAGGGACAGGCCAAGGTACGCTTCTCGACTTTCTTTTACCTTCCTTTTCAACACGCGCCCATCGGGAACCCATATACCATACCCCTTTCCCCCCCGCCGTCTGCTATTCCCTCCCTTTTTCTGCTCTCCTCTCCCTTTCTGCTTTTACAGCAGGAGCAGTTTTCAACGGAGCCCACGCAGGCAGCAGCAATTGGCGCTCCCGGCTACGCAGCAGGAGGAACAGCTGTCTCTGCACCCGGTTACGCTGGCGGCGGTTACGTGGCAACGGCAACAGGCCCAGGCTTCACCTGCACGGCCCAGGAATTCCCCACTGCAGGGGGAGGCGCGACGGGAGTTGCTGCTGTGACTGATACCAAGGGGAGGACGATTTACTACTCCACTACCATGCAGCCCATGGGTGTGACTGGCCCGGGTGTGACTGAAACGGGTGTGACTGCTACGGGTGTGCCTGCAATGGGTGGTGGTGGTGCTATGGGTGGTGGTACTGCCACTGGTGTGCCAGCAGCAGCAGGTGGGATGGGGCAGATGGGGAAGGGGACGGATATGAGTGCTATGGGGGCTGGGATTGGGGGGGAGAGTCTGGGAACAACTGGGATGGGGGGAGGGGGAACGGCTGGGGGGGAAGCAGGGGGGATGGGAGGAGGGATGGGCGCAACAGGGGGAGGGGATACTGAGATGATGGGAGGAGATGTGGGGGGGGAGAGCATTGGCGCAAGGGGGAGTGCTGAGCCTACTGGTGGGGAGAAGAGCCCAGCTACTGGTGCTACGGCTGAGGCGGGAATGGTGAGGGATGCTGGGAGTGACGTGACTGCTGGGGGTCAAGTGACTTCAGCGGGTGATATCGCCAAGGCGAAGGAGGCTGGTGCTGCTGCTGCTGGAGGGAAGACGGGAGGGGCTGAGACCGGTGGAGAGGGATTTATGGGTCGGGAGTCCGAGGCCAAGGCTATGGAAGGGGAAGGAGGAATTGGGTCGGCCTAAGGTAAATGTGAAAATGAATATGCCTGCAATGCAATAGCCTGATTGTGTACTACTCATCAAAACCCATCGGTTGGCTTTTTCTTCCATTAGAATGTGTTGTTTCTTCTGCTGTTTGCTTTTGTACAGTTCCTGTTCTTTTGTTCATCTGTAAAACATTGTACAGCTTTGTTTGTAAAACTAGTCAGTAGTACTGCAAAGATGGTTCTCAGCTCCAGATTGTTTCATTCTTTCTGTAGAGCAGTTTTTACCCACACCTGGAACAGAACACTGATACTACTACTCCAGATTGACACCAATACCCACGACAAACCTGCACAGCATACAAAGTTAAACCTAACAAATCATGCCATGTCACATCATAACCATAGCTCACGGTCATCTCGCAGCTGCAGCTGCAGCTGCGCATGCCTTGATGAGAGGCTCAGCACCAGACTGATGAACAGCCTCACACCTACCTAACCGCTCATAGACCAGCCATATCATGTCATCACATTATCTCGCAGCAGCACTAGCCTTGACCAGAGCCTCTGCACTGGACACCTCGGATGCATAGAGAATCAAACTGCCTCACGCCTAACCAATCATGTCATGACATTATCTTGCAGCAGCACACGCCTTGATCAGAGCTTCTGCACTGGACACCTGGCACGGAGGAAAGGTGGAGAATGGATAGGGGATGCACAGAAGATCACATAATGGGACTCAACTGAGACATCTGGACACAACGCATGGGATGCGACATGGGAAGTTAGGACGGAAGGCATCAAGGTATTTTGAGGGCCTCAGCACATGGAGAGTGGAGATGCGTGCTGAACAGTGGAAGGAATGGAGAGGAAAGGGAGAGGACTAGAGACGAATGGGTAAGAGTGGAGAAGAATGGGGAGGACTGGGGAGGAGTGGAGATGAGTGGAGGATTGGAGAGGACTGAGTGGAGCAGGATGATTGGAGAACAATGGAGTGAAAGCGAACGGACGAGGAAAGAACAGGCCAAGAAATAAATGAATAAAAGGAAAAAAAACGGGGAGGAGGGAGAAAGGGGAGGGGGACGGGGGGGGAAGACGAAGTGAGACTATTGGAACATGAAGGGTTTTAATGGCAGTGTGCATGCACCAGCGAGCCTACCAGAGTCGAATCTGAGTCATCTTCACAATCTCGTCTGTGGTTGTTTTTTTCAAAGGACTCCTCATCATAAAGACTTCTCCTAGAAACCTGCATGTGGCTTTAAGCCTACCTGCGTTGGGTTGCCAGAAATCTCGACAACCCTGTCCGTGCTACCTTTTGAGGCGCCTCAAAAGTACTTTCAGCCTACCCAATCAGCGGCCTACCCAATTAGCGGCCTACCCAATTAGCGGCCTACCCAATTAGCGGCCTACCCAATAAGCGGCCTACCCAAGTGGCAGCCTACCCGATTAGCGGCCTACCCAAGTAGCAGCCTACCCAATTAGCGGCCTACCCAAGTAGCAGCCTACCCAATTAGCGGCCTACCCAAGTAGCAGCCTACCCAATTAGCGGCCTACCCAAGTAGCAGCCAACCCAATTAGCGGCCTACCCAAGTAGCAGCCTACCCAATTAGCGGCCTACCCAAGTAGCAGCCTACCCAATTAGCTGCCTACCTGCGTTGGGTTGCCAGAAATCTCGACAATCCTGTCCGTGTTGCCTGCTTCCGGGGGCTGGATCTGCCATTGCGGACACAGGAACAGAAAAAGAAGAAGACAAAAGCAACAAGATCTAAACAATCAAGGCTTAGTCAGACTCTGAAGAGTTCTCGACAGTTAGATTGCAATATGATTGAACCCACCTTGAACCTATTCTCTCTTTGTAATCTAGATTTAAAAGTTTGATACGTCAGTTATACCTGCCACATCTGCATCAATCACAACCCTGCCATGATAATCATTAGCACAACTCTGCCGAATGTTCTTGATGAAATGTGACGCCCGGCCTCCCCCACTTCCACAACCCCTTTCACCTTCCTGCACATGCATGCAAAGACACGCACTCTCACAATCCTACCATGATAATCTGCCGCAGGATTCTGCTCAATGCCCTTGATCAACTGTGAGCCGCAGGATTCCTACCTTGATCAGCAGCCCTCCCCTCTTTTCCCCAACCCCCGTCCTCAGCCCCCATCCCATTCCTCAACTTTAATGCAATGCAAAGAAGCAGAGTTTCACGCCCTTACCTTGATGTTGGCACCAGACATCTGCTGAGTGTTCTTGATCAGCTGTAATGCGGCCTTCCCCCGCATTTCCCCACCATACACAGAATTACAGCCTTACCTTGATGTTAGCTCCAGACATCTGCCGAATGTTCTTGATCGTGTTCCCACCCTTCCCCAGCACCGACCCTATCGCTTGCCCCAGCAACCGAAGCTCAATCCGAGCCTGCCCCTGCCCCTGGCCCTGGGCGTGACCATGAGGCTCGGATGCCTCTGTTTTGACAAAGGGGCGATCCTGCACCCTCCTGCGCTCTGAATGGAGTGAATGAAGGGACAAGACATGAAATAGACTTGACATGGGGGAGATGCATTAATTCTGATGAACTCGTGTTGTCCGCAGCAATGTGAAGACGGAGACGGCAACACGGGACTGGGATCATCCTGCCTGCACCCTCCTGCGCTCTGAATGGAGTGAATGAAGGGACACGGCAAGAAATATGGGAATAATGAATGAACTCGCGCTGTCCTCAGCAATGTGAAAACGGAGACGGCACAATGACACTGGGACGACCCTGCCCTGCGCCATTCTCTGCTTAAAATGGAGTGAGGCGGAATGGTGGTACCGGAGGGAGCGGTGTGCTTTGAGACTTGTCGGATGGTGGTAACGCAGTGAACACACATATGGGAAATGCCAAGGTGGGGAAACAAAACCAGAAGCAACAGCAAAACTAGGGACAGCGGCAGCGGCAGCAGCAGCGGCAGGGGCAGCGGCAGCGGCAGTGGCAGGGTCAGGAGAACTCACTTGAAGGATCATCAAAACCAGCACCAGGCGAAGGCTGGTAACCAGACGAGGTAGTGTAACCAGACGGAGGGTGGTAACCAGACGCATCAACGTAACTAGCAGCATCATAAGCAGAAGAGAAACCAGTCAGAGAGCCACCACCGGCAGCACCACTCCCCATCCCCCCTATCCCCCCTCCCCCTGCTCCCCCTGCTGCTCCTCCTGCTCCTTGATAACTGGCCAGTACCGCACCCAACCCCCCTCCAATCCCCCCAAGTCCTCCCCCCCCCACACCACCCTGGTACCCCATCCCCAGGCCCCAACTCAGGTCTCCTCCTCCTGCTGCTGCTGCTGCCCCTCCCCCTCCCCCTCCCCCCAAACCTCCTCCCCCATAGCTACTGCCCAGATCCATCCCCAAACCTCCCCCCAAGCCTGCACCCATGTATCCCGAACCAAGCGCTCCCGAGCCTAGCCCGCTCCCTCCCAAACCCAGCCCAGCATCGTAAATCCCCGTTCCTCCTGCCAAACCATACGCAGGCGGAATTCCCAAGACTCCTACCGGACCTCCTGGCAAGCCATAACCTCCTGCCAAACCGGATCCCAAACCGGATCCCAAACCTGCAATCCCCGAACCTGGGTACCCCCCGGCTCCCGAACCTTCAAATCCCCCTCCACCCCTTCCACCTCCACCTCTCCCCCTTCCTCCTCCTCTCACCCCAGGACTTTTAAAACCTATTCCGGCTGCCGCTGCTGCTTGCTGTGCGGCTGCTGCTGCAGCAGCTGCAGCATAGGGGGTGATGGTGGCGCGTGCTGCTGCTACTGATCCTGCTGTTTCCATCTCCTCTAGGGGCTCCTGGGGAGGGTTGGCCCTGGAGAGGGACAGAGAGACAGAGGGACAGAGAGACAGAGGGACAGAGAGACAGAGGGACAGAGAGACAGAGGGACAGAGAGACAGAGAGACAGAGAGACAGAGAGACAGAGAGACAGAGGAACAGAGAGACAGAGAGACAGAGAGACAGAGAGACAGAGAGACAGAGGGACAGAGAGACAGAGAGACAGAGTGACAGAGAGACAGAGAGACAGAGGGACAGAGGAACAAAAAGACAAAGAGACAGAGAGACAGAGAGACAGAGAGACAGAGAGACAGAGAGACAGAGAGACAGAGGAACAGAGAGACAGAGAGACAGAGAGACAGAGAGACAGAGAGACAGAGGGACAGAGAGACAGAGAGACAGAGTGACAGAGAGACAGAGAGACAGAGGGACAGAGGAACAAAAAGACAAAGAGACAGAGAGACAGAGAGACAGAGAGACAGAGAGACAGAGAGACAGAGAGACAGAGGGACAGAGAGACAGAGAGACAGAGTGACAGAGAGACAGAGAGACAGAGGGACAGAGGAACAAAAAGACAAAGAGACAGAGAGACAGAGAGACAGAGAGACAGAGAGACAGAGAGACAGAGAGACAGAGGAACAGAGAGACAGAGAGACAGAGAGACAGAGAGACAGAGAGACAGAGGGACAGAGAGACAGAGAGACAGAGTGACAGAGAGACAGAGAGACAGAGGGACAGAGGAACAAAAAGACAAAGAGACAGAGAGACAGAGAGACAGAGAGACAGAGAGACAGAGAGACAGAGAGACAGAGACAGAGAGACAGCGAGACAGAGACACAGAGGGACAGAGAGACAGAGAGACAGAGAGACAGAGGGACAGAGAGACAGAGAGACAGAGAGACAGAGCGACAGAGGGACAGAGGAACAAAAAGACAAAGAGACAGAGAGAGATAAAGAGACAGAGACAGAGAGACAGAGAGACAGAGAGACAGAGAGACAGGGAGACAGAGGGACAGAGAGACAGAGACAGAGAGACAGAGAGACAGAGGGACAGAGAGACAGAGAGACAGAGAGACAGAGAGACAGAGAGACAGAGAGACAGAGGGACAGAGGGACAGAGAGACAGAGAGACAGAGAGACAGAGAGACAGAGAGACAGAGACAGAGAGACAGAGAGACAGAGACAGAGAGACAGCGAGACAGAGAGACAGAGAGACAGAGAGACAGAG